CCAAGGAGGAAAAGAGAGCCATCAGTTATAGACAAACTTACCCCATACAATATCGCCGAAGACATTTTAAACTCCCCAGCCAATGTAACCATAGAGCAGATGCTCCAATACTCTAACTAAAGATGAAATTTGGCTAAGATACTAAGAAGACTACTACCTCTAGTACAAGAGACTAGTCATGTAGTATTCGAGAAACCAAAGTGCACCACAGCTGCCAGGTACTACATTAGGATTAAAGGAAACCCCGTAGTAGCTGTATTAGACTCCAGTGCAGCCGTTAGCATCATAATAAAGAAATTAGTAGATAAACTAAGATTAAAAATCTTGGAAAAGTCATCTACCGTTGTAGTCATGGCTATGAGAGCAAAAACAAGAGCACTGGAAAAGATAAAAGACCTAAAAATTACTATTCAGGATATGATAATACCTAGTACAGTCCAGGTTATAGAATTGTCAGATGAGACCTTGCTGTTGGGAACAGAATGGTTCCAAAAAGTGAAAGCGAGGATCTATTTCGATGAACAAAGATTAATTCTCAAATACCAAGGTCGAACAATTGAAGTGCTAATTTTGCATACTGGCAATGATTTTCTAAAACAAGACAAGAAAGATGAAAAGTGGGATATTAAAAGTAAAGACATATTTGACGAGTTTACCTATGAAAATGAAGACCTAGACGAAGCAAAAGGGTACTACACCCTGAAATTGTCAGAGAAAGAACTGGACATCTATGAAAACCTATGGAAAAATAAGATTAGTCCAGCAATATACTTAACTGCAATAGAAGAACTCCCTACATAAGAAAAAGAAAAAGAAATACTCACTGAAAAAGAAAAACTGAAAAGATTAATCCAAAGTGAAACTCTAACTGAAAAAGAAAATGAGAAATCCTGGGAGTTCTTTCAGAATAAGATTGAACTCTTTAATGACCAAGATAGTCTAGACCAAACTGATCTGACTACTCGCCGTATTGACACTACTGAGGCCAAACCTATAAGGCAACACTTCTACAGAATATTCTCAGACGAACAAGAATTCATTGATAAAGAATTAGTAAATATAGAAAAGCAAAGGCTAATACAAAAATCTGAAAGCCCATAGGCCTCACCAGTAGTAATCATTCCCAAGAAAGGCAGTATACTCTATATGTGTATTAACTGCTATAAGCTAAATGCAGTTACCAAAAAGGACGCATACC